CCACACTGGGAATGTGTACACAATGTGTACATGCCCTTGACCTGAATCGAACCCGGGACCCTTCAGTCCGCAGGCCAATGCTCTATCCACTGAGCCAAACTGGTTAGGGCCTTTTATTTATTTATTTATTTTAGTACATTTTGATTGATTTCAGAGAGGAAGGGAGAGAGAGAGAAACATCAATGATGAGGGAGACTCATTAATTAGTGCCCCACACCAGGATTGTGCCCACAACCCAGGCATGTGCCCTGACCAGGAATCAAACCGTGACCTTCTGGTTAATAGGTCAATGCTCAACCATTTAGCCACACTAGCTGAGCTTGAAATATCCATTTGATTTTTTTTCCCCCCAACCGCTTAACATAAAAATCATTCTCAGCTGTAGGTGGTGGGCCGGATTTGTTTGGCCATAGTTTGCCAGTCCTGGGCTGAGCTCAGGAAGCTGTTATAGACGGTGGATCTCTCCCTCTCACCCCTCACCCTCTCCTACCTTCTGTCTGAGGTTCGAATGGGGGGTGGGAGGTGCAATGGGGGATAAGGGCACATATGTGATACCTTAAAAGAAATTAAAAATAAATCATGTAATCAGCAACAACAACAGAAAGCTGTTGTGGACGTTAGTAAGCGAGTTCGGACACAGAGCTCAGCATGAGCCAGGGAGCAGGCGGCGCTCCTGCAGCATCGCCGTCAGTGAGCACCGTTCCCTTCGGGCCCGGCTGGTGTGAGGGCAGGGAGGTGGTGTGCTTGGAATTTCTGTGCTTCCTGAGAGTATTTGCATTTCACAGCTGGTGTGTGTGTGTGTGTGTGTGTGTGTGTGTGTGGATCTGGATCTGGCGGAGAGGTAGGTTTTCACCCAGATTCCTGGGTTTTCTTCTAATTCCTTTCCTTCATCAGGCCTTCGCTGGGCTCTGTGCTAAGGTTCCGGGGCATAGGGATGACCGGGCCATTGAGCCTGCCTGCTGCAGTGACAGTTCCTTCACAACAACAGGTGGCAGTAGTTTTCAGGGGCGATTGATTGGCCAGGTGGGGCATCTAGGTGCTACTCAGTTGTCTCTGTCACCCCAGACTTGATGTGTCCATCACTGGATCGGACACCCAACTCCCAGGCTCCTCCTTGCCTGCTCCTTTTCTGCCACATTTTCCTGTCGCACACAATTTGGCTTCTTGGACGCTAGTGTTCCTTGGCCACCGGGAGGAGCAGAGCTCAGAAGCACTGCTTGCCGAGCGCTGTCTGGGTGCCCAGGCTCATGAGCCCTGTGAGGTCCTGCCTGCCTGTCCCTCACAGGTCCCTGCACGTCTGTTTCTCTCCATCCCGCTGTCTCAGTGCCGTGTTCAGAGCTCTCACCCGCTCCCAGCTTCAAGCCTTCCTCCTGCCTTGCTCCCTGGGAGTCATCAGAACAACCTTCCCCACAAGCCGCTTTCCTTCTTCTACCCGCTGCTCAAGAACCCTCTACGTTGCCCTAACAGGTTTGGCTCAGTGCATAGAGCATTGGCCTGCAGAGTGAAAGGTCCCAGGTTGGATTCCGGTCAAGGGCATGTGCCTTGGCTGCGGGCACATCCCGAGTGGCAGGTGTGCAGGAGGCAGCGGATCCATGTTTCTTTCATTGATGATTCTGACTCTCTATCCCTCTCCTTTCCTCTCTGTAAAAAAATCAATAAAATATGTATTTTTTAAAAAGAACCCTCTACGTTAAATAGAAACTATGTAACTTTACTTTTAAGTTGTTTGAAAGGAAATCAGGAAAAGGGAAAGTGAAGCAGGCCCACCTTATGGAAGTCTGCAGTGGCTCGGACCCTTAGACTCCCAGAGTTGTATCTTTGGTGCCACGTGAGTTGGTTCTGCCTCTTTGGCCCCATAGCTGGGCCAGCCTGGCCGGTCCCGGGCTTGCAGCCTCTGTCGTTCGCCTTCCGGGGCTGCCTGGGTCAGCTGCTCCTCTTCTGGGCTTACTGAGCTCGTTCACTGAGCTTTGCTCAGCACAGTGCTGGATGGCTCGGGTCTCTGATCGCAGGTCCAGCCCCCAGGTCCTCCGCGGGGGCTCAGGGGCTCCAGAGATGGAATCGGATTCCAATTGGGATTGGATTCTTAAAGCTGGGCAGTTTACCACGCTGAGTCACATGGTAGCTGGCCTGGCCGGCATACCCACCTGGTATTTGCATGTTCGCAACAGTGGGGGAGGGTCAGGATGTGCCCGGAGTTGGTGCTGATGGGTGTGGCCCTGTGCCAGGAGCCTTTGGTGGCGCTGGGCTCTGATGGTCTTGTCAGAGTATCCAGCAGGGCCCTTTGCCCTGAGGAACTCTTCGTCCCCTCCTGGGCTCAGCGAGAGCACATTGTGGCCCTTTGCAAACGTGGTCTCCTGGCCAGCCTCCCGGCTGAGGAGCAGCCTGAACACACACACAGGCAGACAGGCAGCCTGGGAACATAAGGAGCCATGCAGTGCGTTTCCCTGAGAGATCTGGTCTGAGAAGAGGGGGAGCTGGGCCCTCTAGCACGTGGCTTCATACTGGCTAAGGTGTCCTCAGGCCCATGTCTTCCGTGGTGGCTTGCGATGGCCAGAGGGCAGGGCTGGGGCGTTGGGAGTCCCAGTCTGACTTGACAGAGCCCCTGCAACTTGTACCCTGTTGACCCTCCTGGCTGTTTCCTGCCAGACCTGGAAACACCTCCGCCTCCCCTCCTGCTCCTCATTCGTGCCCGCTGTGTCTGCTCCTGCGTTCTGGAGAACTGCTGAGAACGGCTCCCCAGGTGGGCCTCCTGACCACTGCAGGCCACCCGCCCTGAGTGGGCTTCCCCTCTGGTGTGTGCAGGGGGGCGTGATCCAGGGGCACGTCATGGGCACTCCCTTTGGTTCACGTCTTGAGTAGGTCGGGGCAGAGGCTAAAGGAATAGGTCTGCCTTGGATGCTCGATCTACCTTGCTCTGCTTTCCTTTCTCTAGCTTGTTACTCATTTGTAAAAGGGAAGTACAGCTTAGTAGAGTTGTATGATTTATGACCATGAGGCCATTTGCAGTGTTCGGTGTGATGGCTATTACCATCAGTCTTTTCTCCCCCAACCAAACTTGATGCCTGGACTCGGCCACAGGCCTGCTCCGTGACCCCTTACTACAAAGTAACTGTCCTCCCTAATCCCCCAGGTGCATGGCCACCTCTGGCCTGGACCACCAGCTGAAGATCTTTGACTTGCGAGGGAAGTTCCAGCCTCTGAGTGCGCGGACCCTGCCCCAGGGAGCAGGGCACCTGGCCTTCTCCCAGCGGGGCCTGCTGGCCGCAGGGATGAGTGATGTGGTCAACATATGGGCAGGGCAGGGCAAGGCCAGCCCGCCCTCCCTGGAGAAGCCCTATCTCACCCACCGCCTCTCAGGCCACGTGCAGGGCCTTCAGTTCTGCCCCTTTGAAGACGTGCTGGGGGTGGGGCACAGCGGGGGCATCACCAGCATGCTGGTCCCTGGTAAGTGGGCCACGGCGTGGGCCGAGGGAGCTGGGAGCGAGGGGCCTGGCCAGGCTGGAATGCTGGATTCCGTGTATGGCTCCATGCTCTTCCCTCCCCCCAGGGGCTGCTGAGCCCAACTTCGACGGCCTGGAGAGCAATCCGTACAGGAGCCGGAAGCAGAGGCAGGAGTGGGAGGTGAAGGCCCTGCTGGAGAAGGTGAGGACGGGACTGGCACGGGGTCCCGGAGAGTTGGATTCAGCGACCAGCCTGGCTTTTGTCCCCGCTTCGGGGTCACCCTCCTCACCCATCCCTGTCCCTCTCTGACGCTGCCAGGTTCCTGCCGAGCTCATTTGTCTGGACCCTCGGGCCCTGGCAGAGGTGGATGTCGTCTCTCTGGAGCAGGCGAAGAAGGAACGGATAGAGAGGCTGGTAGGGAGCCGACCCGAGTCCCAGGCACAACCTCACCCCCCCGTCCCAGCAGTGGGTGCTGCCACAGGTCCCTGTCTCTAAGGCTGCTACAGACTTCACTCCTGTCCCCTTCCCCAGGGCTACGACCCAGAGTCCAAGGCTCCCTTCCAGCCAAAGCCAAAGCTGAAGGGCCGAAGCTCGACAGCAAGCCTGGTGAAGAGGAAGCGGAAGGTCATGGACGAGCAACACCGGGTAAAGGAGCATTTGGGGGTGGGCCAGGCCTCCCACAGGCTGTACCCTCCTCTGCTGTGCCTCTGTCCTCACCAGCCTGCCACTTCTCACTCTGCCCCCTATCTTCCCAGGACAAAGTCCGGCAGAGCCTTGAGCAGCAGCCACAGAAGCAAGAGAAGGCAGCCAAGCCCGTGGGGGCCCGGCCGTCTGCCCTGGACAGATTTGTGCGCTGAGCCAGGCTCCAGGATGGCCTGGGGACAACACTCTCTCCCCAAGATCACCTTTGGGGGAATTCCTGTCCCCTGGAATGAGGGGCAGGGGCCCCTTCCCCAACTGGGAATAGACTGCTGGCTCCCAGGTGGGGTGTGTGGTTAGGTATTAAAGAAGAAAGGGAAGCTTTTGGATGATGTGTCTGGATCATCCTGTTCTTGTCCCCTTCCTTTGCCCAGTATAGGGCTACTCTAGGCTCCAGTGGTCACGTGTCCCGCCACTACCCCCACCCCAGATCTTGTGGTGGCTGTGGCCTTGTCTTTGCCCGTTAGGGGCCTATCTCCTCAGAGAGGCCATGCGCTCTCTCCCGAGTCCCTGGAGATGTGCTTCCCATCCAGCAGGAGTTGGCAGGGCCCAGGCTCGCCAGGCTTGTGTGCGGGGACCCTGACGGGGACCACACTGCACTCTAGAAGTAGAGAGACCAATTTATTGAGGGCTTCTGCCCTCTGCTGCCCTGGGGGATTACCGCAGCACTGTTTACTCCCCTGAGGAGCATCTTCGGAGCTGGCAGGCCAGACCCTGATTTTCCCCTAAATCCTCAGGCTTCAGTGACAGAGAGCACTTGTGTAAGGAAGCTGTCCACTTGCAGCCGCCTTGGGCCAGGAGGAAGGTGGGGGAGCTGGCTGGACCCTCAGCTCCTCACTCCTCTAACGGCCCGGGTCTGCTCAGGCTGTGAAGCTGTGAAACCAGGCTATTACCCGACACCGCAGGATGCCCAGGACCCCCTGGAGCCAGGAGCAGAAGGGTGCAGTCCTTTCCCCATCGGAGCCCCCCACCAGCTTCCAGGCTTCCTGCATCTTCCAGGGGTCCACCTTGTGGGACGTCAGCAGGAATTTCCCATAGCAGCACCGGTCCAGGGGATAGTGGGTGGCACCAGCCAACTTGACACAGGAGGTTGGGGTGAGGCCTCCTCGTCGGGCACTTATCCCCACAAAGACATCTTCCAGGGGCAGAAAATGTGCCCCGCTGGCCACTTTGAGGATGAGCTGCACAGCGGAAGCCGACAACACATACCCTGTGCCCGAGGCGTAGGGTGGGAAAGGGCCCCAGCTGGCAGGCCACTGCTCCTCTGATAGTTGGTGCTTGCTCCCTGGAGTCCGAATGGGGTACACCCGCCAGTGCACGCGGCCCAGGTACAGTGGAGGCGTGGGCTGCCTCACCGGCGAGGGGCTGCCTCCTTTCCACCCTGCATCTCCGGCCTCAGCCCCTCTCCGGGGCGCCATGCCCCGCTCCCGTTGCTCCCGATGGCCCCCTCGCCGGACCAGCTCTGATACCAGTTCTGGAACGTTGACAAACACATCGTCGTCCGTCTTGAGGACGTAGCGGGCCATGGGGCAGTGCTTGTCCGCCCAGCTCAGCCCGCTGAGCGTCTTGAGGGTCAGGTTGCGGTAGGAGTCCCGGAAGGCCGCCTGCACGATGTCCCCCTGGGCCGCTGACTCGCGTTCCAGGTCGTCCTCATGGGAGCCGGGAGGCCGCCCGCCCGGCTCTCCCAGGAGGAAGAGCGTCCGCACCCCGAGCCCGCGGGCCTCGCGCTGCCCGCCCCACGAGGCCCGAATGGCGTTCCTTTGGTTGAGGTTCGGGGGGGCCGAGGTCACCAGGATGAGCAGGAAGGGGGGGCCGCCGGGGCCGCTGCAGGCGCCCTCGTTGGCGATCAGGAGGCGCGGCAGGGCCAGGGGCGGCCCCGGCGAGGCCGGTGCTGGGAGCAGGGACGCCAGCGAGAGGCTCAGCAGCTCCTCCCCGATGCCCGCGGGCCCGAGGAGGGCCCAGACCAGCAGCAGCAGCAGGGCGGCGAGGAGGAGGCGCTGGAAGAGGCTGAGGGGCATGGCCGCCGCGTCACAGGGAGCCTGGAGGGAGACAGAGGGCGGTTGGAGGGCGCGGAGCCGGCTCCCTCATCGGCCGCGCCCAGGGTGGGGCGCCCTGATGGCGGACGGCACCTGCGCCGGAAGGTGGGGAGACACGGAAGGTGCGGAGACGGGGACACGGGAGGCTAACCAACCGCGCCTAGGATGGCGGGCGGCATCTGCACGGGAAGGTGCGGAGACACGGACACAGGAGGGGACTGGAGGCTCGGGCTGGAGCTGCGGGGAGGTTACCTGGTCGCCGCCCCGCCGCCCGGCTCAGCTCCTCGGCGCCCGGCTCCATGCTGGGGAAGGTGCCGCACCAGCCGCCTCCCGCGGGCGCCGAGCGCGGCCCCGCCTCCGGCCGGGAAGGCTGCGGCTGCCGGTTCCCAGAAACCCCCTGCAGCGCGGAGGGGGCTTGACCCGAAGTCATTGGACCAGCGCGTGTTGACGTAGATCTTCCTCCCCAACCACGTGTTACCTCCCGGTGCAGACCCGGTTTACCATCAAAGAAATTGCACCCCGCCCCCAACTCTCCAACACCCAGCTCCCGTATCATAGAAGCCCAGGGTGGCCCAAACCTGCAAAAACTCGCGGAGCCGCAAGACTAGGTCAACCTACCTGCACTCTCCACTGCAGCCCCGGGAAACTGGTGGGCTCCCCCTACAGGCTATTCCCACCCCCTCATACCTTCGGAGGGTGGGAAGGGAGTGTGATATCATTGCTTAAACCAAGACAAAGGACTGTTTGGGTAGCTAAGCGAGTACATCAGTGAAGAGACTTAGGAAAAGGACCAACAGGGTTCTCATGATAGCTAGCATTCCCTATCAATGTCCCCAGAAGAAGCAAGAAAAATCACAAGGGAAGCCAGAGGTGTATAAACTATTTATTAACAGACGAGGCCTACAGACTTATTTCTTCTTGGACACACCCACAGTGCGACCCCGGCGGCCTGTGGTCTTGGTGTGCTGGCCTCGAACACGAAGACTGCAGGTGAGAAAAGGATCACAGGTCATACACATCACATAAACATCTGGGAGAAGGTGGCCCGAAGGGAAAGGAGACCTCCACCCAGACTCACCCCCAGAAGTGGCGCAGGCCTCTGTGGGCCCGAATTTTCTTCAGCCGCTCCAGGTCCTCACGAAGCTTGTTGTCCAGACCATTGGCCAGGACCTGGATTCGGAAGAGGGTAGGGATGCTTTTATTCCCATCTCCATTGCCCTGCCTTTCTTTCCTCTCTCAACTCAATACACACCTGGCTGTATTTCCCGTCTTTCACATCCTTCTGTCTGTTCAAGAACCAGTCTGGAATCTTGTACTGGCGTGGGTTCTGCATAATGGTGATGACACGCTCCACCTGGCAGGCAGGACACGGGTCAGACCCCGAAGGCACCATTCCCAGGCAGGCCCAGCCCGCAGGCCCCCTCCGGGTCCTCACCTCATCCTCCGTGAGCTCTCCTGCCCTCTTGGTGAGGTCGATGTCTGCTTTCCTCAGCACCACGTGAGCATACCTTCGCCCTACACCCTGAGGTTTGGAAATTGGGCTGGAGTTATGTTTTGGTTTCCTTTATCCCCAATTGTTTTTTTAAAAAAGGTAGGGCTTGCAACAATCTAGGGCTTCCCACATAATCTGCACCTTACCCACTTTTCCCAGTAAGAAGCCTAAGGACCAAGTAGAAAAGAGCAAAGTAGTTTTGTTCAAGGGCAGGGTGGGCCAGATAAGCTCTGGAAAGCGCGTGCACCTCCTGATAAATGCTGGGCATCAGACGTGTTGACAGAGCTTGGCACCTGAAGCTGACACAGCTCCACAGCAGGCCTTTTGGTCAGCAGGGACAGGGTTCAGTTCCTGCAAACTCTAAAGGCCTTTGGACCAGCCACTGCATAGTCATGATCAGTTTTATGTATTAATTTTAGGAAGAGGGGGAGAAACATCCCTTTGTTATTGCATTTATTTATGCCTTTACAATTGATTCTTGTATAAATCTTGATGGGGGATTGAACCCACATCCTTAGTGTGTTTGGGATACATTCTAATCAACTGAGCTACCTGGCCAGGGCCACCACTGTCAGTTTTTAAAGATCACAAACTTGATTCTGTCGGTGCTCTGAGTTGACCAGGCAGGCCCCAAGGAACTTACTGCCCAAATCAAACTTACTGGTGGCATCATGTAAACACCAACCAAACAGAACTGGACAGTGAAGAATGTGGCCTGAGTTTCAGAGCGCCCCTCACCCAATGTATTTCCATCCAGACCTCAGAATGTTACCTTATTGGGAATCTTTGAAAATATGGTCAGATGAGGTTATACTAAATCCATGTCTTAAGGAGAGGACAAGTAGACCAAGAGGGAAAGCCATGTGATAACTAAGTCAAGAAGTTGAAGTGATGTGGCTGCAAGACACAGGAATAGTGAGGGTTGCTGGTGACTACCGGAGAGTAGAAGAGCAGATAGATTTCTCAGCCTACAGAGGGAGCATGCCCTGTGGACACCTTGATCTTGGCTATTTGGCCAGGTTTCTGTTGTTTTAAGCCAAGTCTGTGGTAACCTGTTCCAACACCATGGCCCAAGGAAAGAGGGTATTTACTTTCTGTAAGACCAAGTGACCTAGGGCCCTGGCCAGTGTGGACATGGAAGTTGGAGTGGTCCCACGCACCAAAGGGTCTCAATTCCCTGTTAGGGCACATGACCAGGTTGCAGGTTCCATCCCAAGTAGAGGTGTGAATGGGAGGCAACCGATTTCTCTCCCTCCCTTATAGAAAATAAACCCTAAGGTGAGGACTTAATACGTGCAGATAAAATAGTATGTTTGAGATTTACTTTAAAATATGCATGGAAAGGGCACAAATGAAACAAAATTTCTAGTTTTTAGCTAGACGATACAATAAACACCTCAATTTTATGGACCCTGATTAATAGACTTCAGGTTTAATGGACAAAATCATAGGAATGTATCATATGTGAAAAGGAACACCCTATTAATAACCAATATAGCCTATAATTAAAGCAACAGATTATTCAGTTAAACAAAATTTAGCAAATTGGCCATACAGTGGGGAAAACACTAGTAATTTCACCAATAAACATTACATAGCTACAATTACAGTCCACATATTTAAGTCCAAGTTTCACTGCTTGTAAACAATGTTCAGGGAATGATTAGCATGTAATCACACTGCATCATGATAACTAGTTCTATTGTCGTGTGACTTTATGCAGCAGTTTAATATTTTTATTGGTTTTAGAGATAGAGGAAGGGAGAGAGAGAAATGGGGATGGCTACTTCCTGCCAGCCCCCTACTGGAGATCCTGCCCACACCTGGGCATGTCACACCAGCTAGGACTAACTCTGGCCAGGCTGGATGTTCCCGCAGCAGGTGCATTGTGTACTCATGGTGACTGAACACCCTTACTAGACCTAGTAAAACAAAAAACTTGTGAAATTAAAGTTCCATACCTAATTTTAATTACACAAACGTTCCTACATAAGTAAAGAGGTAAACCAGATCTACAGACGTCCCCCTTTCCATCCAGAAGACTACACTGCAGGGAACCAAGTCATGTAATGTGGTCCAAGGGCCTGGACCACATTACAGAAGAGCTAATACTCTGAAAGTATTGAGAGAAGTTCGGCTCACGGGGACACTGGCATTTTGGCAGGACTAAAGAACACCCATAGCAAAAATCTACAAGTGGAAATAAAAACCTCCAGAAGTCACAGCAGAGAAATCGTGCAGATCTTGGTTCTCTCAACACCTCTTCTTGGTATCTCCCATTCCATTCCTCAGCCTTCCCGCAGTTAACTGTGATGACCATTTTAGAGGAACCTCTCCCTGCCACCCCCCTATCCCAGATCCGTAAAAAAGGACCAAGCTTTAGTTCTCTCACCAGAGGAAGAGCTAGCTGCCTTTGCTGGCTCTTCACAAAGTTATCAAAAACCTCACCTACAGCCAAAACCGGTTTGGCTCAGTGGATAGAGCATCGGCCTGCGGACTGAAGGGTCCTCCTGGGTTCGATTCCGGTCAAGGGCATGTACCTTGGTTGCAGGCACATCCCCAGTAGGGGGTGTGCAAGAGGCAGCTGATTGATGATTCATCGATATTTCTAACTCTCTATCCTCCTCTCTGTGAAAAGAATAAAATATACTTAAAAAACCTCACCTACAGAAATAACTTTCCCAATAATAAGCAGGGCATCAGGATCCCTAAAGAGACTTCATTCAGTACCTGAAACTGCTTTGGTGTTGTTCCTTGTAAATATATTTTTTATTCCAGAGACAGGGAGAGTTAGAACCATTAACGATCAATTGGCTGCCTCCTGCGCACCTCCTACTGGGGACCAAGCATGTGCCGACCTGGAATCAGCCCTTGCAACCAGGGAGCTAACACCGGCCTGGAGGTTGTTTTAAGTGGACAAGTCATAACACGTATTTAACTAATAAATACAAAACCAACTCATTTCGAAGAGGCAGTTTAACAGAAGCACATTAACCATGGTCACCCTTTCCCATTTAATTTGTCTCATTACCACCTTTTGGAAAGGAACTTCTGTACTTTACAGTCTTACTAGTTCCCCATAACAGAAGCAACCTTCTTACAAAGGATAAAAGTTTCGATCCCTGCAGTACAGAATTAAGAACCAAGGGAATTGGATGAACCCAGGATTTTTAGTTTTAAAGTTTCCTTAATCAGATAAAGCGTCCCTGATAACATCGGTACCCTAACACTGCTTGAGCACCTATCACACTCTAGAGGGAACTGAGTGAGGCGGAGGGAGCACATCCTGGCGGGAAAAGAAATCATTCAGCCACCTCCAGGACCAGCCACAAGTATTCCAGAGAACAAAAACAGAATGTCGTCTTTTGGCTCCAAGAGTTCATTCGTTTGGTGAAAATACACCAGAGCTTGCTTTCACCAACTTATTTCACCCAACGAACCAAGTACTAGTTCCCTCTTCAACTGGAAAGAGGAATGACTTTCACCTCCGGAAATGTGAGACAATGTCCTGCTCATCAGGGAGTGCCATCCCTCCCAACCATGTTCCTTCACATGGAGTCTGTTGGCATTTCTACCCACCCAAGATGCACAATTATCCCATTTATGGGGCACTAGGTGTCACAGGAAGGGTTGCTGTTAGGAGGCAGAAACCAGACACAGAATGCCCTCAGGGCGATGGCTGAGGGTCCAGGAAAATCCCAGAGAATTCATGTAGACAAACCCACTCCCCACCCCCCAGGTGAAATGTTCTGGCTTGACCTGAAGCCATTCTCTGGCTTTCTTACCTTTCCGGTAAATGCACAAAGGGGTTCAGGGGGTGACCCAGCAGCTGAGGTGATCTGGTTGGGGCTTGTTTCCTCAACCTTGCCTCACTTACAGCTTAGGTCTCAACTAATAAGACTCATTTATGCTCTCCACTCCTTGCCCTCCTTTACCTTAATTGCAGTGATGGCAAAGGCTATTTTCCGCCGCCCATCGATATTGGTGTTGAGTACTCGCAAAATGTGCTGGAACTTCTCAGGAATCACTAGAGACTGACAGAGATTGGGGGAGAAAGCAGACACCGTGAACTGTCAAATCACAACCTCAGGCAGGAACGTTAAACTCGTCACACAGGGAGCACCGGTCCCCCTGCAGGTTTTCACCAACTGCAAACTCCTTAGTCCTGCAGGCAGCAGGAACATGAAATGTTGGGGTTTGGGGGCAATGCGACCTCTGGGAGAGGGCACATCGGGCACATCTCCTGCCTGTCCCCAAAGTACACTCGGAGTGCGGGGGCCAGAGGTCCCCCTACGCGCCCGGGGAGCGACTCTTCCTCGCCCCACTCCCCAGAAACGGAAGTCTTTAGTCGTTCCTTCCCGGGGCGCGATCCAAAGTTCCACACAGAACGTTGCAGGCCCCTAGAGCAGGGCGATTTCGGCTCCCTGAGAGCAGACCTTCCCTGCCCGGTTCGATGTCGCCGGATCCCCGGACGGACTCGGGTCTTACCATGGCGGCGGCGTGCAGGCCTCCTGTGGAAGAGAAAGCGGAAGTTACGTAATAGTCTTATATAGCGAACAGGCGGAAGGGGCGGGGTGATGTTGGTGTAGCTTCCGGAAACGGCTCGTGCCGGCGTCCACTGGACTTCAGAGGGTCCGAATTAGTTGCTGCAACTTCCGGCGTGCCCTCTTTACAGCTCGTCAGGTTTGGGGGTGTGAGAGCCGCGAAGGTTCCGGGGGAGATGGCGCTAAGACTCCCCCTTCCCGCTTGTGCCCGGTGAAGTGGTTGGCGCTCAGAGGGAAGGCTGAGTGGAACATTTACCGCAAACACCTGGGACCGATCTCGCGCTGTGCAACGCCCTCTAGACGTGTAGTTCCACTCGGGAGGACGGACTCGCGCGACTGACAGCTGCCGGAAGTGAGGCTGCGCGAATGGCCGCCGCCGCCACCATGGCGGCCGCTGCCCGGGAGCTGGTGTTGCGGGCCGGGGCCTCAGACGTGGAGGAGGAGGAGGGCCCGCTGGTGAGAACGCAGGGCTTTTTCTCCTCCGGCGTCTCGTTCGGTCGTCCTCGCGTCTGAAAGACCCGGGCTGGGTTTAGTCAGGGCGGGAGCCCGGCGGCGGCCGCAGATGCGCTCCGTCGCCCTCCCTGGGATCGGACCCGAGCTGGAGCAGGGACCAGAATGGTCGACTGCCATTCCGGGGCACAATTTCAATTAACCTCCAGGTTTGGGGGCAGAATAGAGAAGCCGTGCTGTCTAAGGGTTAAGAACGTGGGGGCAGATTGTCTGCGTTTTAGTACCAGCTCTGCTACTCAGGCTGTGTGTCCTTGAGCAAGTTAGCTACCTCTCTCCGTCACTTTCTATACCCACAAAGGTGAAGGAAATTATAAGACATACTGTTACAGGCAAGATTCCAGCGCAGGGACAGGGGAAACTGAGGCAGAAAATTAGGACAAGGCCAAACTGTGAGTAATTTGCAACTGGCCTGCCAATAACAAACCACTATCTTCCCCAACCACGGACACTCCTAATGAATGCAGAAAGCCCGGCGGAAAGCTGGAAGGAAAAAGTGGCACTTTTATTCCTAAGCAGAAAAGCCAGCAGTGTCAGGGCTGGGCAAGATAAAGTTGCCAGGATTCTGGGAAGACCACAACAAGAAAACCTTCAGACTTAATCTGAATAACCAAGGTATTCAGCAAAAGAATCTTTTGAAACCTACAGACAGGAGGGTATATTACTCTTCCAGCTTGCTCCAGACACTCGCTTTTCCAGATTCGCCGGAAAAGCCCATCTGTGCTCCAAGCCAGATGAAATAGATTTGCTTGCTTTGCTTTCTCAATAAAGTTGCACGCTTTAATTGCTTTAATAAATTGGCTGTTCACAACGCAATCAAGGTCTCTCGTATAAATTCATTTATATGAGAAGACAGGGATCAAAGTTGGGGACAGCCCTCTCCCACTAGTTCAGGGGGCTCTCCTGTCTGGTAACTCCTCTCTGGTGTCGGTGAGGGGCCTTACACTACAATATAGGTTGTTGGATAGATCAGTGAGTGTATTTAAGATGGCACCTGACATGCAGGTAAACACTGTTAGCTGGCATTTCTAGAAAGACTGGAGCTCCCCAGAGGGATTGTGATAGAATACCTAAAATAGCAGAAGTCTGGGCTCCTAACTTCAACTGCAAGTTCTGCAACTCCTAATTTTTCCCATCCATGCTCTGTGGATGGCCTGGCTCCTTGTTCCCTGCCCATCAGCCCCAAGTCAGAGATTGGGTACAATGTGAGACTCTTGGAATTTTTCACAAGTACCTATGGCTGCCCCTTGAAGGATTAGGGATTATTCCATTATAGATAGATAGGTAGGTAGGTAGGTAGATTTTAGAGAGAGAGAGAGAGAGAGAGAGAGAGAGAGAGAGAAAGAGAGAGGGGGGGGGAGAGATTTGTATGTATGTGTGTTTTGTTAATCCTCACCGAGGATATTTCTCCTTTGATTCTTAGAATGTAAGGGGAGCGAGAGACAGAAAACATCCATATGAGCCCTAGCTTGTTTGGCTCAGTGCATAGAGCAGACTGAAGGGTCCCAGGTTCGATTCTGGTCAAAAGCACATGCCCAGGTTGCAGGCTCCATCCCCAGTAAGGGGCGTGCAGGAGGAGCCAGTCAATGATTCTCTCTCATCATTGATGTTTCTATCTCTCCCTCTCCATTCCTCTCTGAAATCAATAAAAATATATTTTATTTTATTTTTACATTTTTTTAATTAAATTATTATCTGTGTACATATTTTAACATTGCGCCCCCCATACATACCCTCCCTCCCCAGAGTTTTGTGTCCATTGGTTGTACTTATATGCATGTATACAAGTCCTTTGGTTGATCTATTATCTCCCCCTAAAAATATATTTTATCCAACCAGCAACTATGTTTAAACAATGTGTCCATTTATGGGAGGGGAGTGGACTGACTGTTCTTGGGGAAAGGGAGGGAGGAAGAGACTGAACATAAACTGTGCACCTATGGATGAGGACAATGGGGGGGGGCGGGACCTGGTGGAAGGGGGAAGAAATGAGGAACCTTTGTAATAATAAGAACAATGAAGATTGATTTAATATATATATATATATTTTTAAAAAGAAAACATTGATAGGAGACAGAGACACATTGATTGGTTGCCTCCCACATGTGCCCCAAGTGGGGCTGGGGATCCAGCCTGTAATTGAGATATGTGCTTTTTTTTTTTTTTTTAATATGTTTTTATATACTTCAGAGAGAAGAAGGGAGAGAGAGAGAAATAAAAACATGCATGATGAGAGAATCATTGGTCCCCTGCCTCCTGTGCACCCACTGCTGGGTATCTAACCTGCGTCCCGGACTAGGAAGCAATCATGACCTCCTGGTTCATAGACGAGTGCTCACCACTGAGCTACACCAGTCGGGCGAGGTATGGAATTGACTGGAATTGAACCCAGGACCCTTCAGTTCTCAGGCCGACCTCTATCCACTGAGCTAAACCCATTAGGCTCCATTATATTTTGTTCCCTCTTCCCCTGTATCCTTTCTCATCTTGGACTTATCCCTGTCCAGGGGAGCGGTCCTGATCTGCAAGAGCCGTTGCAGCTCGGAGTGTTGGACCTCACCTCTGATGAGTTTATCTTGGATGAAGTGGATGGTAAGTGATGGCCCAGGGTGGGTGCAGAGTGCCTGTACTCTGAGAGGCAAGGGGGCTGGAAGTAACAAGGCAGGGATTGGTGTGCAGGTGTTCACTGTGGGGAGAGGGAGCTGTGAACTGAACCATTATAATGAACTTTTATTTCCAGTTCACATTCAGGCAAATCTGGAGGATGAGTTGGTAAAGGAAGCTCTTAAAACGGTGAGACTTTCTACTATACTAACCTGCCCTCCCCACACTCACCCTACCCTTGAGCTTATATCCCGGTGTCTTACCCGCTAGTCCTGCGCCGATTGTGCTCAGTGGCCCTCACTGTGACCTCCTCTTGAACTGCAATGTCTGTTCTCCAGGGTGTGGATCTCCGTCACTACTCAAAGCAGGTTGAGCTGGAGCTACAACAGATTGAGCAGAAGTCCATTCGGGATTGTATCCTCCAGCAGAGGAAAGGGGGGGGTGTCATTAAAATGGGGGGGCGGTGTGGAGCGTGGTGCAGACAACCTGGCTGGGGGTGAGGTGCTAGAACCCTCTCAGGGTTCTAGCACCTCAGAAACTGGAGAGGTCCTGCAGGTCTGAGGATCTCCATCCTCACCGAGAGGCCCCTTGACTTTCTGTGGGTCAGATATCCAAGAGAGTGAGAACATAGCATCACTACACAACCAGATCACGGCCTGCGATGCTGTCCTCGAGGTTAGTCACCATGACCTGGAACCCCTCAAATAACCTGGAACCAGATCATGGTCTTGAGTGCCATTCTTCTCCTTCTCCTTCTCCTCCTTCTCCTCCTTATTCTCATTCTTATTCTTAATTACTTTGTTAATCCTCACCCAAGGATATTTTTCCATTGATTTTTAGAGAGAGTGGAAGGGAGAGGGAGAGACAGAGAGAAACATCAATGTGAGAGAGACACATTGATTGGTTGCCTCCTGCATGTACCCTGACCAGGATGGGGGAACCTGCAACTAAGGTATGTGCTCTTGACCAGAATCAAACCAGGACCCTTCAGTCCACAGGCCAACGTTCTATCCTCTGAGCCAAACCAACCAGGGGGGTGTCATTCTTTAGGTCGTCAACCTCAAGTGGGGAGCAGGCCACTTGTAATATGATCTCAGTAGCCTTTTTGTTGGTATTGCCATATCTGATGTTATTTGCCATTGACCTTTGGGGTACCTCTTCCCTCATCACCTGCTACCCTCATGGGTTGATTGGTACTGGAGACATCACCAATGAACTTGGGTGGCCCACGCGTCCCCTGCCAGCCCTGTGGCGCTCCAGCGGATCTTCTGCCTCTTTCCCAGCGCATGGAGCAGATGCTGGGAGCTTTTCAGAGTGACCTCAGCTCCATCAGCTCGGAGATCCGGACGCTGCAGGAGCAGTCAGGGGCCATGAACATTCGGCTTCGAAACCGCCAGGCAGTTCGAGGGAAACTTGGGGAGCTTGTCGATGGTCTGGTTGTGCCCACTGCTCTGGTCACGTGAGTTACTAGTTTGAAGGGCCACAGGGTTTATAGCAGGCAGCTGGGCTGGGCTGACCTAACCTACTTACCACATGGGATTCCTGGCTTCAAGTCACCAAGTGCCTTCCAGAAGTTGGTGGTTGAGTTGACGGCCCTTTCTAACTTTGATGCATGCTTTAGGCATCAAAGACTAGGAATCATCCAGGGTCAGGGGTGCAGTGAGGGACCCAAGGACAGAAAACTGTTCGTAAACCCTGACTACGACACAGAAAGAGGGAAAGGAGAGAGGTTGGACGTCAAGCATATGACATGGAGTCTAGGGATGCTGGGTCTCCCTCCCGACCCATCCACCCCTCCCTGCTACCTAGGGCAATTCTGGAGGCGCCAGTGACAGA